ACTGGAATCAATGACACTAACAGGACTTTCCAACTTTCCAAATTAACTAGGAGATAGTATTTGTTAACATTATATCATTAGCCATTTATAACATTAGCCATAAGCCATGCTGGTTGGTGGTGATGTGATCTGAAAGAGATCAAAATAGAGAAATCTGGACCAGTGATCTGGTTTTGATAAAAATCCATATTTTACTTTCACAAGCTATATATGAAACCCTTCAGAAATCATGAATAATATCTTACTCAAGAAATAGGGAAGGACAATTGCCTTAGGAAAATTAATGTTTTAATATTCGAAATGCATTTTCTCAAAATAGATGTTTCTTGCACAAAAGGGGCCAAAGTACACGATTCACTTTTCTTTGCATTTGACTCTTACATCCAATAGAAGTCCAATATAAATAATAGGCAGCGTGCAGCAATAAGTTTTTCATTATCAGGAATTGCTAATTCCTCAAAGGCATGAGTCATAAATGCAAAACCATTTTTTCAGTGTCTAAAGTTATGATATCTAACCCCCCAAAATACTAAGGATACTTGCCATTTTCTTCATTACTTTATCGTTTCAAAGACCTTAGTTTTCTCAAGCTTTCGAGATTATCTTCACAGCAAGGGTTCCAACGTGATCCCAAGATTCTTTGCAGCCTTACAGTATTTAATTACTCATAATAGAATTGACCAAGTTCCTGGTGGATTGTCTTGTAGTATCTCTCTCTTCCCCCCCTCCAAGCCCCCCCCACGCCCTGTGTGTGTGTGTGTGTGTGTGTGTGTGTGTGTGGTGTATGTGTGTGTGAAAAAGAGATAAAGAGGGAGGGAGGAGATTGGATATGTGTACTTGTGCCTGGGAAGAAAGCCTTGAGGCAGGCGGGTTATCTTGATAGCGATGGGCAGAAGGTGACATGGCAGAAATCTGAGAAGGGGACACTGGGCCTGCTGCTTGAAAGCAGTACCATTGTCTAGTTCTTGTTATCGACCCTGAGAGCCTGATAATTGGATCTTCAGTGACCCTTGTTGTTTGGTCTCCCATTGCATCTGCCAGGCCATTTCAATCTTTCAAGGTTGGTATTGGGTTACTTTGATTAAACAATGTCATCCAATATGCATCTCTGTAGCACCTCCTACCCTTTGGAACTCTGGCTCTCCCTGAGATATGGATGTCCTCCCCACCCCCCACCCCCACCCTTCTGTTGTTGTTCAGAAGTGTCTTGAAGATCTGGCTTTTTATCCAGGCTCTTTGCACAGAGTGAGACCCTCTGCTCCATCCTGAGTGGCGTGTTGTTCTTGAAATTTACATCAATGTAACCGTGATTTCTTTGATTGTTGTGAGCCATCCAGCATGTCAGGTGGATGAATGTTTCATAAATACCTTGGATCCTAGTGAGGTGCTACCTTGACACCCATTAAGGCACTACCTTGACATGGTTAATTATGATTTTCAACCTTTTTCAGGAGTGGGATTCTACTGGTTCGGACCAGATCGTTGTTCCCATGTTCCTTGTTCCCATGTTCAGCTCGCTCCAAACCGGTTCGCCCACCTCCCCCTGTCCTTTCCTGTGCTTTATGCCTTTGTTTAGAACACAGCTGATTCGTGCAGCAGAGCAGTTTGCCATGCCTCAGCTGTTTTCTTCACAGAGGCTGCAGTTGAAGGTAAGTAGGGGCTTGCCTTTTCAAAATGCGGAGCGTGCGTTTAGCGCAAACGTGCACGATCACCGAACCGGTTGTTGTACTGGTGGAAACCCACCCCTGACCTTCTTTATCTCATGGGCATACATCTCACATCTGACTGATGAAAACCCTGAATACCTGTGGACCTTTTGTGACATAAAATGTGTTGTGACACACTAGTTATCAACCGCTGCTCTAGAAAATTACTGGATGGCAGCAATTTTTAGTCTTTGTTGCCATCTAATAGCCTTTGGGAGCTCCACAATCAAGTTGATAAATTTACTTTTTACTCTTTTTCTTTTACCAATTTTTAAGATGTTATTGTTTTTCTTTCTTTCAAATATGTAATGTAATTAAAGGCATAAGTAATAAAGTTACAACTTATACTATGAATCCAAAAAATGTGGAGAGGAATACTGCAGATTTGGGCTGGCCAGTTCAAAATTTCCTCTGAAGGCAAGTATGTATGTGTTTTCTGCAAAACATATGCACATACAAAAAGTTAATGGAAAAACCTAACTGTGTGTGAAGTTTGGTTTTCATAAGCTAGATCTTCTAGATGCAATTTTCTAATTTAGGTATACATTTTTACATAGGTGTTTATTAAAAAGCTTACACCAATTTTTTATCCTGGAGAATTTACAAATAGTCTCTGAATTTTCTTTTTATTTATAATTTCTGGTTTTGGCATGTGACACCGAAAATGGTTCCAAACCAATTAAAAAACTGAGTAAAGATTTTTAATTATAAAGAAAGGAGAATGTGCTGTATTCCAATTAATTAAACTTCTGACTACAAATCCTGTGAAATACATATGTGGGAGTAAATGCTACTGACCCAAGTGGGAGTTTCTTAAGAGTAAGCTACAAGTCACAGAGGACGTTTCTGAACAGAAAGCCTTTTATCAGCTGCAAAGTAAGTTTCACACGTCTAAACTGTAAGCTGAACGTGATTGTATAAAAGTCGGCTGCACTTTTTTTTTTTTTTGAAGAGGAATGGCAAGACTGCACTAAGAATTCCGTTGAAGAAATCAAGAAGGATAGACAGTCCTTTGGTTTGCTCCCTCCCTCTTTATTTATTAATATTTATCTATAGTGCAGTCTAAAATGGTAGCACTGGAAATACTTGTTCAAATTTTGCCTTGCAAATAAATCAAGTATCTTTCAACGTTCTCTTTCTTTCCTTTGGCTTAAATGAGCAAAAATAATCTCTTACGTCTTAAATGAGCAAAAATAAAGTAATCTTTTACTTCTTAGTCCAGTAGTGACTAAACTATAAGTACTAGAGCAGCGGCCTCCAACCTTTTGGGCACCAGGGACCGGTTCCATGGAAAGAGATTTTTCCATGGACTGGAAGGGGGCTTGGTTTTGTGTGCTGCCTGCATCGCGCAGATGGGGCTGTATGGCCCGGTTGCTGGCATGCCACAGACTGATGCTGGTCCATGGTCTGGGTCCATGGTCTACCAGAGGGCTTCTCTTCCTGGACATCCATGAGATATTTGAGGGGAATTGCATTTGCACCATTCTATCTGGACACAGGTGGCCTTCCCTGTTCTGCTGGTGCTGGGTAGATTAATCTGAGTTGTACAGGCCATTCAGGTCTTGGAGTTCTCCTTCGATGGTCCTTGCATAGTATCTGTCAAAGGATACCCCTGATCCTGGAGTGTATTTTAACTGTGATTCAGCTTTAGGTCTTAAAGGCTGGCTTGCACACATACAGAAGTGATATTCAGGAGGACAGTATTACATAATTGATGATTTTAGGGGAATGTGGTGCTATAAAGTTGGAGGCTCTATGCCTTACCCCAAATGTTCTTTTTCCAATGCTTTAGTTTAACTTTTCTTGTGGTCTATATAAATCCAGGTAATTAACAAACAACCATGCTCATGTTCTCGCTTTACTTAAGGAAGAGAAAAGGCTCTTCCTCAGAGCAGGAAGCAGCTGCTATTCTTGGTCTCTTCTTAGCTTTGTATTATAAAGTAGCCTGGCAACTTTAATTTCTGCAAAAAGCCCTCATTTGGCAGAAAGTACACATTTCCAAAAGGCAGCACACGTCTTTTGGCAGTCTATTCAGTGAGGGAGAGAAAAGGTGTGGGGAGAACTTGGAAGAAGATAAAAATTGTGCCCCAGAGAAAGAAACAGGACATCTCACTGTGGCCAACCCGGCATAACCATCCCACCATGAGAACACTTGCCATGGGACAATTCCATGTTGGGATACTCAACACGATAAATATTATCCACCATCATTTCTTGAACATTATTGGCATTGACAAAAATGTAAAGAATGCAGAAGAAACAATGGTGGATAACATTTATCTTGTTAAATTATCCCACATGGGAGTTTTTCTAAAGTAAATTGGTGAGTTGGCTGCGGCAAAATGGCTGCACTGGGTTGGTCATGGTAAGATGGCTATACCAAGTTGGTTGGCTGTAGCGAGATGGTTGTGGCGAATAGACCCCCAAGAGAAGGTGTGAGATCTTGACTCTGAACCTGCCTGCTTATTACTTCCTTCTGCCCTACTTCCCCCCAGCATGTGGCGGGGCCACCACAGAGCAATCTTTTGAGTGCTTTGGAAAAATGAAAGTTGTCACCAATGGACAAGGTGAGTCTTTAAATCTTTGTGGAAAGGCCATTTGAATAAACACAGCTCACTATGGAGACAAGGGAGAAAGGTCTATCTGTCAATAGTCTCTCCTATTGCACAATTAAAAGGATTCCTGGCCTAGAGGCAGGTAGGAAGTTATTATGGCATGGTCTATAATGGAGAAAGAGGCTGATTGTGGAATTTTGTTATAGTTAATCTATGAAACCCTGAATATTCAGAGAATTTGCCTTCTAAATAAAATTCTACAGGATCCTGATAGAGCACAAAAATGAGCATATCTGTCCACCATCTCCCCACGGATGCAATAAAACTGAACACTCTTGCATCTGCAAAAGGAGACCACCCTGGACAATTTTCAATTTATTCCTCCTGTCTGGCGCACCTAGGGCTGTCTCTACACAATTACTGTCAGGGTGATAATATTGCTTGACAAGCATAGCTGCACCAGCAGCTCCATGATCCATAAAGAAAATATGTTCAATGCCAATCCTAACCAATTTTCAATGTATAGTTTGAAACCATACCTTAGGTGGATTTTAAGAGGAGTTAAACAACACTGAACCTGAGAAACCAAGTGGGTAGTGTTTTGTGTGTTTCTATCCTCTTGGTTTCCTACAATCACTTAATACCTTCTTATCCTTCAGGACAGTATGAAGCACAAACACTAATCTGATCACTGAAAGATGTTGCAAGGCACTTGCACAGGGAAATGGGACAAACCTTCAAGCTTGGTCTTCATTTTATTGAGAGAGAAAAAATATCCATGAAAAAGAAGCATGGGAAAAGGATCACAAGCCAGCATGTTTCCACAGGAAAGAGAACATGGTCCTGGAACCACTACAAATCTGGGCATCCCATCCCCAGAAAATTAAATAGGCAGGCAGACACAGATGTAGAGTCTTTCAACCATCCCAGAAAGGAAGGTCACATTCTGAATGGATGTCCCCGATAGGTGAAAAGATGCTTTCCTCATATTCACAGATGTATTCTATGCAACAGAGTTGGCCATATGCCCAAACAGCTTTCATTACAGAATGATTGGCTACAGGAAAGGCACAGGAGGGAATTAATCACTTGCTGCTGACTGCTGTCCACTGGCAGATTATTGATTCAGTGGCTCATACTTTCCCAGAGATCTGCCCATCAGTTTCTACGGCTTGCTGGCTTGCTCCTTGGCAGTAGGGCTGGGTTTTGTTCTGGATCATTCCTGAAATGACCTTATTTCAAAAGAGGTCACTGTTAGCAGTACATCTGTGTAAGAAAGGAAGGGGAGGGAGCACTCACTGATAAACTTTCAAGATGGACCAGCACTGGCTTGGTGGGGCCTGATACATTTGGTTCCTCTTTGCTTTTGATCTTAATGATCATAGACATTAGATGTTCCTTGCCACAAGGCATGTGGGTGCGCAGCATGTCATGTATTTTCCTGGGCCAATTCCTCAGGGCAGGGGATCTGATTCTGGGGTTTTAGTAGATGCATGACAGGCTGTGGTTGGGAAGAAAGATTATGCTGTGGGTTACCTGTGCCATGCCCTGCTGCTGTGTGATACAAATGTTTCTTATACTGCACAAACATGCAGACCTTAAGAACAATGGCCAGCACATTCTTCCCCATGAAGATCCCAGAGACACGAATGTCCCGGAAGAATAACATATTGCTTCCTCTGATGAAGATGGTGGTGATATTGATTGTAAGCATGCTCAGAATTGGGTACAGCATCATGCGGTGGGGCACAATGCTGATTCCTTGCATACTAATTTCACACAGCGACACACAAGGCAGAATCAAGAGGAGGATGTAGCAGTAGAAGAACATCAGGCCTTCAGCCCAGATGGGTAACCCTTTCTTCTGAGGCTCCCAGAGATTGGCCTGAATGTCCAGCACATCCAGCATGTCGACAATGACCCAGAAGAGACGATTGCGAAGATCTTCCTTTTTCTTGAACGTCCTGACATACTCCATATGCTCTGTAGCCACCAAAAGCACATAGAGGGCTGGGATGCAGATTGACAGTAGAAGGGTCAATGCTTTGCGGGCCATGAGGTCCAAACTTTTCCTGTCAGCCTTATAGTTCTGATAAATGAAGTAGACTTTGATTTCCAGCACAAAGACATACAGGAACCAAAGGATCATGGCATAGCCTCGCTTAGCAGTCCTCACTTCAGCCCCAACCCAAACAGCAACATACCTGAGCACCACCAGGAAGCAGATGTCTCCAACTGAGACCATGATGCAAATAGCCAATTTCCTAGAACCCTGGTTCTGTTCCACCAGATAAGCATCCATCAGCACCATGCTGCTCATGATGAGTGTAGTGGATAGGCAGACATGGGACTTGTTAATAGGAGGGGGAGGAACCATTCTGAAACAAAGAACACATATTATTAGTCCAACAGAATTTATGTGCAGCCATGGACTTTCTCTAGGCTCATTGTTAGTACTCATTGTTTGGCATGTGTGGGATGTTGACTAACTGTCTCTCTTCATCTAATTTCCCTATAGTTGAATAAACACACCTCATAATATGTTATAAGTTGTCAAAGAAACTGTACAGATATAACATTCAAGCAATGGAAACTGAACAGGGACCTTTAATTCAAGCCATGATGAATGTACTAAATGCACGCTCTGTGTAAAAATTTCCAATACGAACATAATAGTATGATGCTTTCAGTACTTAGAAAATATTTATTGCAAGCTTCTTTTTCCCTCTGTGCAATATGGAAAAAAACATGGATAACACTGATTTTCCTCCTATCACTTTCCTTCTTTCCTTCCTTCTGTCAAGACCTCCCATCCATCCGGACAAACTTTTGGAATTCCATGGGGAGAAGCTATCAGTGAAAATGATCTGATCTCTTTTATAGCCACCATCCAACCATGAGTATCACTGAGAGATCATTCCCTTTAGTAAAGCTTTAATGATGATCTGAATATTTGATTTTAAATAAAAATATATTCTAGCGAGGGATGGATTGATATTACATTTTATGGAGATGTTTTGCAGAATCAATGACATCCAATTCTCAAATTGCCAGCACAAGTTGTTAATTCTATTGTGACCTCAGAAATGTGCCTTACAGCACAGATTATGAATAAAATTCAAGTTCTTATGTTACATGTGCTCACAGGTTCAGTTTATGGTCCCTCATTCACAGCCTGTCAGACACATAGATCTTGTAAGCCAGGGATCCGCAACCCCCCAGTCTGTGGACTGGCATTGGTCCTCGGCATGCCAGCAACCAGTCCGTGGAAACAAGCGAAGCCCCATCCACGGAATGCAGGCAGCATGCAAAACCACATTCCCTCTGGTCTGTGGAAAAACCTTTCTCCATGGAACTGGCCCCAGGTGCCCAAAATGTTGGGGCCCACTGTTGTCTTCCCCTTTCTTTCTACTTCGACTCTCCAAATGGGTGCAGCGAGAGTGGACAAGATACACAGCCCCAGTCAACAGCTTGGAAATAACTAGGGACAAATACCCATTTCTTTCAACTGAACATTAAGGCAAATCAGGTTCAACTGTACTGGTTACGTGCTATGCTCGCTCTTTCTCACACAGACGCATAAACACTCATTCACGCTTACTTAATGTCCTTCTCAACTAGGCTGCCAGGTATTAGCTAAAAGGAATGGAAACTGCCAAGCTTGGTTCCAAAAATATTCTCAAGGAGTGGCTGGGCTTGTAGACCTTTTTGTCCCCAAGGCTTTTTGCTTTATTGACAAGCTGGGATAGATGGGGACCCCCTTCCATATGTTCAGGCCCAGCTTCCTTTGAGTGGTTCAGGTGATTTTTTTCCCCTTTGTTCTCTTAACAATTTGCTTCCTTCTTATTTATACCTCTAAGGGACCTTGCAGAGAATGTTCCTGGCATTTTGCCCTCTCTGCTTACATGCCCATTTCCTCTTCACAGGTAGTCCTCAACTCACGACAGTTCATTTAACAACAGTTCAAAGTTACAACTGCCTCAGAAAATGTGACCCATCGTCAAAGTTACGACCATCACACCATCCCCATGTGATTGCAATTTGGGCACTTGGGAACCAGCTTGCATTGACAAGGATTGCAGCATCTTGCAGCCATATGATCACAATTAGCAACCCTCCCAGTCAGCTTCCGATGAGGAAAGTCAATTGGGGAAGCTGGATTTGCTCAATGACCATGGTAAAAATGGTTGTAAAATCAGGTCCGGTCACATGAGTGGCTCAGTTAATGATCACATCACTTAGCAACCAAGATTCTAGTCCTAATTGTGCTCATAAATTAACCTGTAGTTATGGTAACTTCTGACTAAGTAATCCCACACATTGCTACCATCATGTATGTGAGCATTGTATCCAAATTTCGGAAACAGATTGAAAATGAATTAAAGGCCAGGAAGAAGTCCAACAGCTTTAAACTAGATCAAGCTCAAGAGCAGCCTTTCCTAACCAACTACTCTGCCAAAGGCTGGGTTAGGTCTTCTGGAATTCCCAGATAAGCTACATGCCCAACATACAGCTAAGCCATTCCCTTGTTCTTTTTTGATTCAGACTGGAAATTTTGGAAAGAACATTCTGAACTGTGGTAAAAAAGTGGTTAGAATGCAGTCACTCTGTAGAGATTCTCAGTCATCCAGGTCATGCTTGTCCCAAAGGTGCTTTTTCAGGAGGCAACTGTGGACTTTCTTGTTTTTTCTTTGAAGAGGTTTCGCTTCTCATCCAAGAATCTTCTTCAGCTCTGCCAGGATAGTGGGGATAGTGGAAGGATTTATATTCCTTGCAGAGAGCTGGTCATTTGCATCCTTTTCTAGGGCTGTTGAAGCACTTGGAATGCAGTACTACAGGCTAACTCAAATGAAAATGCTCAGGACACAGATGCCCTGGTCATGGAATTCCTCCTTGTTCCATTAGAGTTGGCCACAAGCCTTTTAATGTTTGGGTTAAACTAATGTTACTTTCCATGTCTGGACTGGTACTCCTATCCCTTGTCTAAGAGTTTTTGAAAGCAATTGAACATACCTAACATCCTTTTTAGAGTTTAGTTTTTCTTTTAATTATTTTAAGTTATTATCTCTTAACAACAATGCTTTTATTTGTTTTTTAAGAATCTGTACCCTACTTATGAATCGTAATGCTATTTAAGTGTAATGTTATTTAAACTTAAGCTGAATTAAATTAAATTCAGTACACTTAAATTGTTCCTCTCTGTTTAATAGCTTTTTCATCCTGTCACCTTCAGAATTATATTACTTTTGGAGGAACTCCAGAGCCAGCCCTAGAGATGGGAACAGGCATTGCTCAAAGAAGAGAGCTCATTCATTCTAATTTAGAGATGGTTGGACTGGGGCTGTGGTGTGATCTGTTTGGCCATTAGACAGCTGTTTTTTAGGTTGAACAGTATCACATTTAAGCAACATCACTCCATGTCATTGCTGTGAAGTGACCTAGGGTTTGAAGCATATGCTTTCCTTACAAATCTAAATTGACATCTTTACTCTACTGGTTCAGTGATACAATAGAATTTGATGTGTACAGCTTAAGAATGGATAATAACAGTTACTGGAATCCATTTATGGAGACATGAAGACATGAATGGTATTGGGTAAAAATGAGTGAATGATCTAATGATCATTCAGCACTTTTAATAAATCCTGTTATTTTCAAGAGAAAGTTTTATAAGTGCTTCATTGACTAGATTCCATCAACATATGGATGACATACATCAATAAAAACTGAGATTGCTGCATCTCTTCTCTACACACTTACACAGGGAGGCAATTTTAGCATCTGTATTATATTAGAATTGTCTTGTGAACTCTTTTGCAAAAGCTAAGTTACTCTAGGAAATGTTAGTGCATTCTATTTATACAGTGATTTGTGAGTAATTCAAATACCCTTTATTTCATTTTATAAAAAAACAGAACTTCTAATAGATATGTACATCACTTTCAAAACCAGAACAAAATTAAATCATTTAAACAAAGAACAAAGGAGGCAAAAGAAATATTACAGATATGTTCTGCTTCTCCCATGGTTAATTTTGGCTTGGATTGTTTTGTGAATGGAATCAATTACATTTATAGCTCAGTGCAATATATGAACCCAACTAATTATGTATTCCTGTGACTTATGTCAGGAACTCAGTTAAGTAATCCATGACCTAGCACTAATTTTGACAAGCTTAAGTCTGCCAACATTGGGACAAAATTCTTAGAACTGACCATATTGCCTTGGGATTCTGGGAATTGCATTTCCAACATAGGGAAAGTGTGCAGAGATGACCAGGTATGTTTGGTATGATGTGTTAAGCCTTGCCTGTGATTTCTCCAGTATGTTTAGGTTAAAAGTCAGTCTCATGCAGTGCAATTTATATATGGTTGGGGAGTTGATATCCCATGGGACGTAAGGAACTTTATGCCTGAGTATACTTATATAGGCTGAGCCTATTGACTATTAAGTAGTGCCAGATCTCAGGACTCATGGTTAGCAATTGGGTTATGGTCTTTGAAGGCAGAATTGAGGCATTTCTCAGTGTCACACTTCAGAAGATTGCTCATGGGATTCAAAACTGCAGAAGAACTGTGAAAACTAACATAAAAACCAAGAAAAGTTGCAGGTGAGACTACAGACAATGGCACTTACAAACAGAACTAAGATTGAAGCTGCTAGGAAACCTGACTGGGGAGAAAAATGACAGATAAGCCAGTGAAAAAAGACTGGCTTACAACATGGTGTTTTTCTTCCAGGTTTCTGTGCAAGAAAAATACGTGCAAATATGAATATAAATTTTCTTCTCCTAGTCCGTCCACTGATCTTTCCTATGATTAATTCCTCCTGCTGTTTATATAAATCCATGGAGAAAATCGCCAGAAGCTGCAAGTAAAAGCAAGAATTTATGCTTCTTTGATGTGTAACTGGTTTTTAAGAGCAACTTGTTAGGTAATACTGCATCACAACATTAAGTAGGAAGTAGTAAAATACTGTCGCAGGCCTTGACCTTATGTAGTTGAACTAATACGCTTCTCTAGCTCACAGAGAGGCCTGGGTTAATTAGTTGTAACGGAGAAATGTAGACTAACATTGCCCCATTTATTTACAAGCAGGTTAAGAATGGTTTGGAACTGGAATAGAGGCTAAATATTACTCATGTTATCCAGGGTGGTGAGGTTCTTCAAAGCATCCCGCAAAATATAGGTCAGTGCTTCACATAGTTGCAGCTGCCCTTTTGCCTTTCTTGAACCTCCTTGGCAGACCACATGCGCTCTAGTCTGCTCCACTGATTGTCTAGGACAGGTTTATCAACTCAGGATTATGTGAAAGGGAATCATTTATTCAGAAACGAACAAGCTTCTAAGGAAGTAAAAGAAACAGAAAAATGTATCATCACACATGCACACACACACTACACACACACACACACACACACACACACACACTTTGCTAGGTTATACAGCAAAGGGGGAAAAAAGAAGGGAAAGGCAGCTGGAAGTCACAAAAGCCATACTCTGGAAGGATGCTCCCTTTTTAGCCTAGAAACTAAATCCTGTTCTTTGGTTTCGCAGGGGCTGTTTTAGCATATGATTCAACACAATGAGATACATTGTAAGTACCAAGCAAGACTTTTGCTTTTTTAAAATAAATTGACTTCCTTTGATTTAGAAGGAAGTGGCAGCAAAAATCATGCAATTTAGAACCAAAAGATTTTGATTAAAATTTAAACTTTGGATCCATAATTTATGCCAAGATGGAAAAGAGGCCATGTTAAAAAAAGATTGGTCTGAGGCATTAAAATCTAAAATTTCAGAAGTTCCTCAGGTAGTTCTTAAATAGGATGAAGAATTTTGATCAAAAACAAGGGACATAATGTTTATAGTGTCTTAAATCTAATGGCTGACTGGCTGGATTCCAAAGAAGACCAGAGCCAAGAGAAAATTAAGCATCCAACAAAGAAAGATGGGTCCAAGCTATAGTATCATCATTTGGTAAAGGCGATACCACTCTTTTCACGTAAAATGAGGTTTCTATATCTATGGGGCAAATTCATGTCCATAATTCATTAGATAAATTAATAACACTGGGATTGCAAACTCATACATATTACACACCACTCAAAGTAATTTTTATGAGATAGGAAGACATAAATTTGATAGATAAACAAATAAATACACAATGTACTGTATGGAATTAAGAATGTGTGGAATGCGAATGTAGAACAGCCGCTGTAAAAATATTTCTCCCAAATTGTCAGCACTTCTCTCTTGTCACGGTAACTTTGAAACTGCTGAATATAAACAGCTTCATATAGTCCATTTGATGATATATCCAGATACTGGATTTATTAAATTGGCTTCTAATTTATTAAAGCAGCATCTTTAAGAAATGTGTAGCCAGTAAGTAGATATTTTTCTACTTTTAAACATTTCTTTCCTAATATGTAGGCTAGTATATAGGCTTTCATATAGTCCACCTGATGGTAAATCTAGTTTCTGGATTTATTAAACTAGTTTCTAATTTATTAAAGCAACATTAAGAAATGTGCAGCCAGTAAATAGGGCCCCGCCCCCAATTTTTAAGCATTTCTTTTATACATTTTTATCAAAAAGTCTTCTTTTAGCTATGATCACCCAGCATGCAAAACCATAGTTTACTTTACCACAATTTATTAAATGAACCATAACTGGTTGAGTCCACAGACTCAAATGATAAAGCACAATCTACAAACAATTCTGTCTGGATTCTTACATTAGGGTTAAACGAACACAACTGCAGAGCAGAAAATCACCCAGAAGCTGGGTTGAACATTACATCACTACAGGGAACAATATTTAGGGCCAAATTTCCACCCTCCCATGTGAATGACATACTTGATCAAAGGCCAATCCATGCAATGAGTTCTACCAAGCAATACTCTAAGCATAAAAATAAATGCCTGTCAGTTTTTCTCTGGCAGAGTACAAAATATTCATTTTAACCTTTAAAGCCCGTCAACAATTTAGAATTTGATCTTCTGAGGGATCCCATATTTCAAAATGAACTTGCCTGGATGCAGCAGGTCTCAATTTCGGAGGTCTGTCTGTTGGGCATATAGGAGAAGAATTTCTTCTATATGGCTCACATCCATGGACACCTGGAAGGGACAAGGGGGAAAGTGATATCATACATGTCATAATGGAATTGATATAAATGTTGTCCATGTGAAATCATAATTGATACAACTCTGAGATAAAAGAAGTCTTTCTTTTTCAGCTATGCCTTTGTAATCTGACTTAGCTTTCATACCAGTTATAATTGTTTCAATGACATTTTAACTCTAGTTATGTTTTGTATTGTTAGCTGCCTTGATTGCCCTGTGGGCAGAAAGACAAGATATAAATAAAATAAAGCTCTACACACATATTAGTCTAGCTTAACTCATAGGAAACAGACGCTTCATATGATACGCCTTAAGGCAATCTACTACTCCCTCCTTCAGCTGTCTGTCTTACCATTCTTCTGAACTAACCAAGATTTATCAGCTTTCTCTCACCTGATGCCTGCCCAGAATTTCCCTGCAGACTGCCAGTTTACCTTTTACCCAACAGATTAGAAACGAGTTGCACTCACGAGTCCTTGCCACCCCATAAACATGCTTAATTGTACACTGGATGGCAAAACTTCAGGGACCCACTAAAAATATTACAATATTGCCTACCCTGATTCATGTCAATACTTTAAACAAAGCAGGTACTTCCTCATATTTTTCTTCTTAATTTTTGTGTCTTAAGCTTAAACATAGTTGAAGGACTTAATGCTAGAGCTTTTTTAATTGAGTCCAAGCAAAAAGCCAATGTTGCAAGCAAAGGACAAGAAGTCCATTTTTTGATGTAGATCTCACTTCTTCTTTCAATGGCCAGCAGCATATACACACACACACACACCCTCTTCAATTTTCTATCTATCAGAACCCATCCATTTGTTGAGATGCAGCTGACTCTTCATAAGAATTATGGCTGCCTGGTCTATCTGCTAAGCATGGATCCCCTTTTGTTGCTCAATCCTAACTTGAGATTTTGGAGATGGGGTGGAGCACTTGCGAAAGAATATCAAAAAAGGGGTGTATCAGCCTCAGTTTTACACATGGCAGAGAAACTGTTATCTGTCTATCTGCAGCAGAGAAGAAAGTTAAACAGGTTGGCTGGTTTTTGGGTCATGTGCAAAAAGAATAGAATTGCTGCATTTTTTTTCACAAGGGGCTTCCTGGCTACAATCAATGGAATTTATAGTGTAGCACATCTGAAAAGTGGCATTTGGGAAAAGTGCTTTATACAGCCTATCTTTTTCAGCACACCATATTAACCATATTGAGTTTGCATGTGTGAGAGATGCCTATCTACACAGAAATATGATAATTCATGCTATGCAGGGATAAAATGTCACAATATAGAAACTCTGTGCCTGGTTCTTTCATGCCTTCTTATTTTATCCCAGAGAGATGTAGGCTAGATGGCAGAATCAATCTGGGGTAGGGAAGGAAAATAGAAAAAGAAATAGAAGGAAAAAGGCACTTAGCCTCATCCAGATCATTCTTTCCTGTAAGAGTTATATGTCTATTAAATCAATTTTGGTGAACTTTCTTACCAATTACAATTAGATCTTAAACATTTCAGTGAATATATTGCATAGTGAATAATACTACTGATTGTCAGTATTCACATGAGAATTCTGACAACCTCAGGATAATGTCACTCCTTGGACTCTGCACATGCATACAATCATATTTTCCCCACGTCTGGGACACACACAACTGCATCTCAATGATTGCCAACATTCAGAAGAGTGCCTAAGTTTTCCGTAGGGCAGTACATTTGCCCAGGATCCTAAAGATTCATGAGCAAAGAACACATTTTCTTAAGGTTCACACTTTCCCCCTCACATATTCAAATCCAGCCACCCCGTTCACTGCCGCATCAATTTGTTCTTTGGCTGCTTTCCAAAGAAATCCAAGAGCCAAAACAAAAACCAAAGCTCATTTCATGAAGGATGATTTTAGACGACAATAATAATAGCAATAATAATTAATAATCATTAATAGTAGCAGCAGTCCAATATTACCTAGTGCTGGTCTTGAAAGCTCCGGGACTTTTCTCCAGTTCTCAAGAGGGATGGTTTAGTGCTGAAAGACGGAGGGATCCTGAAGCGATCCAGTCAGTTAATCAACTGAGTTAGGGCGAGAGCGAGATCCCCGGCAGAGCGAGGCCGCCCTTCGCAGCCAATGAATGCTCAGCAAGTTCTGCGCGTGGATTTCAGCCTGGTTAACAGCCTCCCAGTCCTGGAGAGGTAGCCGCACCGTCCGCCTTGCCTTCCACGCCCGGAGCTGCTCAGGCTGATCTCTTGCAAGGGACCCCCCGGCGTGCTAATCGCTACGGTTAGATTCGAATTTCTCCTTCCGCGCCCGGACTGCCTCGCTCTTCGAGGTCCCGCACGCCGGTTGCTTCCCGCCGCTCCAGGGGGCTCCCTTCCGGCTGTTCTAGCTTACTGTAGACCGAAGCCGGGAGCGCTCTGCGCCGATCGGCTCGCTGCTTTCCCCCCCGCCCGCAAATGCCTCCTCTCCGTTGTAGGTGACGAGCAGCCGTTGGCCCCGGGCCCAGCAGCACCATCCCCCCGCGACGCGACCCGGGCAAGCAGCTTCTCCTTCCCGCGGGAAGCGAAGGTCAAGAGCGATTCTCGCAAGCGGCGGCGGTGGCTCCCGGGTTTTGCAGTTCCTCCGCCCACGGGCGCGGAACGGTAGGGCAGGGGGCCGAGAACTGTGCAAAAGCGACGTAGCACACACTGGCACACCCGCGCGCAAAAGTCCTCGAGGTGCCTGAGAAAAGCAGGACTTTGACTCCGCTCCAGCCTGGCCTTCGCCCTCCTCTGGCTCTTGGCCGCCTCGGATGGCGAGCGGGAAGCCGCTCTCCCGACCTCAGGGTCCAGCCACATGAGCTGCGGTTGGGGGGGGGAGCTCCCTGCTGCCCCTGGTCTGGGCAGCGGGCGGCGGCAGCGGTTTCTGCAGTCTGGCAAGCGCCTGGCTCGGCGAGGCTGGGAGCGCTGCTGAGAGACCAAGCGCGCCTCTGTGCTGAGCTGAGCGAAGCAGTGAATTAAAGTGAGTTAGTCAGGCGGCAGGTTGGCAGCATGGCCGCTCCCTCCAGAGAACGAGACGGACGGAGGCAAGGAAGGGGCAAGGAAGGAGCGGACGGCGGAGGGGCTAATGAAGCGGTTGGCTTATTGGGGAGTCTTACGGGAGGAGGAAGCTACGCCGGGACGGTCCCGAGGGATGGGACGGTCCTTGCTGTTGTGCCGAACATCCTGTTTTGTTAAATTCCAGATGTTTTATTCCAGACGAGAGCAGCCATCTATGTATAAAATGTACGTCCGCCCCGGTGCGCTCTTGCTCCTTTATTCTCTTCCCAGAAAGTGCTCCGCATCCCACGTTCTCCCCCTATGTAAATGCTTGGCCAGCAAAAGCCAGAAAATACGCAAATCAAAAAGATGTGCTGCTAATTTTTCAGAGGAACATATCTTTAGGCCTTGTATAATTGTCCTCCCTCATGCGCACGCAGGGACGGACACACACACACACACACACACACACACACACACACACACACACACACA